TTTTTTTTTTTTTTTTTTTTTTTAATAACACAATTATCTCATTTAACAATTTGCCTTTAAAAAAATACTATGTCTGTTAGGTTGGTGGTCAGGAGACAAAGGGAGTGAAAATAATTTTCATTTCAATAATTGCCTTCTGGTCAATTTAACTGTGCCTTATTTTGAAAGAGCCTGTCTAAATGAGATTCCTGTCCCAAATGTGTTCCCAGGCCTTAGCCCAGCCTTTAATTATTCCTGAGTTTTTTTTCTTCAGAATAAGACGCTGCACTGAGTAATCACAAAGAAGTCAGAGAGCATCCTTGAACCTTTTCAATAGCAGAGCCACTGATATTCAAATAACATGCAAGGACCATTTGACTGCATGGGGACATAAGCATTTCCAATTCACTATTTGCATAGATCAACTGTCTTTGAAAAGGAAAGGAGCAGTTGTCTTCCATAACATTAAAAAGCCTAGTTATCAAATCAAGTGCTTAGTTTGGGGCTTTTAAAACGTTTACATTTTATCTTAGGTTGCCCTTTACCGTTTGACATGCAAATTTGGTGCAGTTAATTTGGACAATTAAAAGGATCTTCAAGGGAGCTTTGTCACCGAGAATATTTGGAGTTTTCCCCGTGGACCAGCTGAGATAAAGTTGGTCAGAACAAATGATGTCTAGGAGATTAATTAGATATTTGATAAGACATGAATCCCTAATAAGGGAATACAAGGCACAGGGGGCTGCTGTGTGCTCTAAGTCAAAATTAATAACATTTAACAAGATTTTCATTTAGGCATGAAATGTCTTTTCCGGAGTATTGACTCTAGCGATTTATTCCCCTGAGATCACCTCCCAGCCTAGGCAGCCTTGTGGCACTGAAGGTTTTTAAAATTAAATAAATAGTTCCTCAGCACAGTTTGCCTTCACTCGATTTTGGGGATGGTTTCACCAAAGACACTTAGGTCTCAGCATGGTTCCCGGCTGTAGCAAGGCTGGGACTCAGTTAAAAATTGGGGKTTTTTTTGGTTTTGTTTTTAAATTAACCAAAAAAGGTGGTTTGAAAAGAGCTCAGTGCGCCTGGCTCGGGGGCCGGTCCCATCCCCTCCCAGCTATCATTGCTCGCTGTATTTTTTTTTATCACTGTGCCCGTAAGGATGCAAGGGCACCCACTAAAAAAGTGACCCCTGTGAGGACTGGGCGGGGGGAAGGAAGGGACACGAAGAAGAACAAACCCGTGAGTATATTGTTCAGTCCTTTAATAATACCAAAATGAAAATATGTCAAGATTTTTTCCATACAGATAAACGCATTTAATTTCTTTGAGACCTTAACTTACGTGTGTTTGAGTGAAGTGTTAACTCAACATTTTAAATATCTTTTACATATATACTGACTTCCACAAAGTGCATCAGAAATTTAAAATTAAAAAAAAAAAAATTAATCAGAACCCCAAAACCTCCCTGAATTTCAGGAATTCACCAATTGAAAAAAAAAATCCCCCAACCCCCTATCAGATCAACATTTACAATAAAAATAAGGGAACACGATCTGGTTTTCTTTTTTTTTTTGTTTTTCTTCTTTTTTGAACCCTATTTATACAGATGTTTATGAGATACAGAGGGACCGTCTCAGAGTTGCAGCTGTATTTCTCACCTTAAGCCTCTCTTAGGATGCTTGCCTTCCGACAGAAAGAGAAAAGGGAAACGGAAGAAAGTGTCACTCGGTACCTACTGGCCGGGCGGGACGGGGTCCGCGCCTCTCCGGCCCCGCCGTCCACCGGCCCGCCCCCGCTGCGGCCCGGGGCGCCATCGGCGGCGGGGCGGCTCGCGTCCCTCCGGCCGGCGCGGGGCACAGTCCGAGCGGCTCCGGCGGCGCTGCCCCTAGGAGTCACCGGGCCCCGCGGTAGGTTCTTTGCCCGGTCCGCGGGCGGCAGCGCCCACGCCCTCATGCAGGATGAGGTCGGGGGACTCGGAGCGCGGCGTTTCCAGGTTGCTGGCGTCCGTATCGCTGTCGCTGCCCTTTTTGCCCCCGCCGCCCCCGTTGTGCGTTTTGATGTGTTTGCTCAGGTGGTCACTGCGCATGAAGCGCTTGTTGCAGACGGGACAGGCGAAGCGCTTCTCGCCCGTGTGAGTCCGCAGGTGCCGCTGCAGCTCGTCGGAGCGGGTGAAGCGCTTCCCGCAAAAGAGCCAGTTGCAGACGAAGGGCCGCTCGCCCGTGTGCCAGCGCAGGTGCGCCTTCAGGTGCGAGGTCTTGCCATACACCTTGCCGCAGCCGGGGATGTGGCAGCTGTGCAGCCCCTTGCGCCGCAGGCTGGCCCCCGCTGGCCCCAGCCTCTCGGCCTCCTGGCAGTTGGGGCAGTCGCAGGTGGCGCGGCCCGAGTAGCGGCGGGCCGAGCGGGCAGAGCCGCCCCCGGCGGCGGCGGCGCCCGAGATCATGGCGCTGGCCGCCGCCACCGCCGCGCTGGAGTCCGTGTAGGAGGGCAGAACGGGCTTGAAGCCCTCCTGGGTGAGCAGGTGCTGGCTGGTGGAGAGCAGGTGCGAGGCGGCCGTAGAACCCAGGCCGGTGGAGCTGAAGGCGGAGTGGGTGAGGGAGCTGAAGTCGGGGTTGTAGGTGCCCAGTTGGGAGTGCAGCGAGGCCTGGGGGGCGCCCGAGTGCAGCGAGCTCTGCAACCCCCCCGCCGGGTTCTGCACCTCAAGCCAGGAGCCCGGGTTGGTGTGCACATCCCACCAGGAGGAGGCCGCCCCGTTGGCTACCTCGCCCGCCGAGAGAGTGGAGTGGAATCCTGACTTGTACCAGGACTCGTATGGGTGCGCCATGCCCACCCGCGGGTAGAGGCTCTCGGCAGCCGAGCTGTGCACTTTGGAGATGAAGGCCGACTGCCCGCCGGGTTCCTGCGGGGACACGCCCGCCGCCGCCGCCGCCGAGTTGGAGAAGAGGCCGCCGTAGTCGCTGCTGAAGGCCGAGGAAGTGGGCGAGGTGGAAGCCAGGCAGAAGGCGCTGTTGGCCGTGCCCGTGCCACTGGCCAGTCCGTTGGAGCCCCTGCTCGTGGCCACCGTGAAGCCCGAGAGGCTGGAGCCCAGGTTGCAGCTGGAGGTGGAGCGTTTCCAGGGGTGGAAGCCCCCTTTGGCGAAGGCGCTAGCCTCGGGCAAGGTGGTCAGGGGACTAGTGTTGCCGATCTTGTTGCAGGTGGCGGCCAGCATGGCCAGGGGAGTCGTTCCAAATCTCGGCTCTTCCTGCGGGAAGAGACAAAGCCGGCCCGTCAGCCTAACCCTTGCCACCTCGCCAGGCTCCCGCGGGGACACGGCAACGCGGAGAGAACCGCGGCACAACGAGCCGTACTGCGGAAAAGTTTTCTTTTAATTTGGTGGAAGGCTCCAGCCCCGCCACGCTCGGCACAACTCGTTTTCCGCCGGGGACTGGTCTCCTTGCCCAAGAGATTTACATCGCAAGCGGGTCCCGACGGGGACAAGGGACACGCGTGTTCCGAGAGGGCTGCTCGAGCGCACCGCCGTTAAACCAAAAATCCCGTGGGAACGAAATGTGGCGTCTCCTCGAGCAACCGTACAGGAGCAACGGAAAAAAAAGAGATGGCAGCAAGGCGAGCAGTGTRGGGAACCTTCCGACCGTCGCCTCGCGCAAAACCGAGCTGGCGAGAATCTTTGGAAATCGAGCGTAGTTCGAGTTAAAAACAAAMAAACAAAACCCCAAACCAATAACAAAACAAAAGAAAGCAGAAGCAGCACGGCTCCTCTCCGGCCCAGCGAGTTTTCAGGCTAAACTCGTTGGAACGACCCGATGGGCAACCCGCAATGAAATCCCCCGAGGCGGGCCGGGATCACCTCCCATCCGCGGGTCCACGCGRTTTGCGCAAGGGGCAGCCACGCGGCGGCAGCGACAGTTTTTCCAGAGGGAAGCCGCGAGGAAGCGCGCGGTGCGACTTACCCCGAGGATAGACGTAGCCATAGCACGTCCGTGGGCTGGGCGGTGGGGCGGAGGGGACGGCGCTCGGTGAGCGCCCCGCGCTGCCCGGCGGCACTAAGGACACTCCGGCGCGGCGGGGCCAAACTCTGCCTAAGTGCGGGCAGCGCCCGCTTTGAAGTACCGCTGGCGACGGCGCTCGCCCAATGAGGGCGCGGGCGGAGCGGCCCGGAGCGGCCCGACAGCCAATCAGGCTGCGCGGAGGTGCCGGCGCCGGGGCGCGGGGCGCGTGCCAGTCAGCGCGCGGGGAGAAAACTCCCCGCTCCGGCCCGCGGCGGCCGCGCCGCAATTACCGCCGGCCCCGGCGCCCCGGGTCGCGCCTCCCGCCGGGCCGCGACTCCCGCCGACCCCTCACCGCTTGCCCGCCSGGGAAGCGGGAAGAGCCGCAGAGGGCAGGAGTCGAGAGCGGGGTCAGCGCCGGTGGAGGGCTGGTGTCACGCCTGACGCCGCTCCGCCGTCGCCTGTAAACTGTCCAGGAGGTGTCAGATCCCCCGCTGCTGCTGTAGTCAGTCACCTGCGATCCTCGCGGCCTGTAAATCATACCTGCGTCGCTTTTATTCAACAGGCCCTTTRCCTCCTTTTCAGGCCATTTGGGAGCTGTCCGTGTTGGATATAAATAACCTATCAGCGCCTAATGACATTCTGTAAAAGCATATTAAATTTTTTTGTTTGCTTTTCTTTATCAGATGCTAGAAATGATTTCGTGTGCAGCGTGTTTCTTACTTTCATTGCAAAAGGAACTTAGGAGGCTTTGTGGTTATATAAAGTGCCAAAAAATTCCAAAGACAGGGAACTGACAGGCATCCCTTTGCTCTTGTACCAGGATGGGAGAGAGGATGAGGGGCATATGACATGATGTCGCCTAAGACAGAGAATATTRTTTTACAGAATAATCACCAGAAAACACTTTGAAAGTCAAATTCGCAGCCTGCAGCCCGTTTTTCAAGCCTCATATACTCCTGTGTGAGCAGTGCTGCTAATGGCAGAAGGCTTGCTCCCTCCTAGCAGTGCTAGGGCGCTGCTGGAATAAGCTTCCCTAGCATTTGTCTGTGGCCTCTGCACTGTGCACACTCCACACACCCAGTGAGCGACAGAGACTTTACCTGCTCTCTGCATGTGCGAAATGTAAGTCCAAACCTCGGCTCCTCAATGTCTTGCAAGCTAGTCCCTTTGATTTGTAATTATTGGAGGCTTCTTAAGTAATTGGCTAGAACTTGCCCGTACTGTGCCCGCGGAAGATCAATAGGYGTGCAACTTTTCATCATTGCGATCGGCTCTGTGAGAATGGGAATAGGAGCTTTCCCTCTTTCTTTTTGCTGTTCCCAGTGCAGCTGAGTACAATTCTGAACCAGAAATATGAGTGCGTTCATGCAACGCCGGGCCCTTGCTCTGCATTTCAGTCAATATTTCCTTCTCGGTGCCGCTTGAGCCATCCAGTGTAAAACCTTCTAGCAGATGCAAAATAGGCATCGCAAGATGCAAGAGCAAAATGGAGAAACCGGGAATTTGAGATTATGATTTTGCTTTTCTTTATATGTTTTATATTTTCTTTCTGTATATGTGTGCTTAATTAAGGTGGGCATTGCGTTTTCTTTTACATTGTGTTATGCAATCTGCAGGACGCCTGCCACGCTAGGAAGGATGTCCCTGGAGATTATCTTTTATTTAAACGTCTAAGGCTATTTTCAAGTGGCGCTCGCCTTTTTTCGCCGCGTATTAAACAGAGTCGGGGCAGTAAGAGAAAATACTGTTCTGCGCTTAATTCTTTCCACATTGACTCGCAGCCGGCGCAGTGGTCCGGGTAGTGCATGGTAAACGCTTCCTCCGAAAGGTCTGCCCGGAGCAGATCCTGAGCGGCGGCTGTACCCAGGGGGGCTGTAGCGCTCGGCGGGTGGAGGCGGCAGAAAGGCGGTGGCGGGGGGAGCGACATAACCCCCGCGGATGAGGCGAAGAGTCCGACAGGGGCACCCGGGAGCCATTGCCCAACAGGTGACTCCTTCCTTCCCTCCTTCCTTCTTTCCTTCCTCCTTTTCTCCGGGGGGAAAGCCGCTCCTTCCCTTCCCAGGAGCCTGCCGTGGTGGTCGTCCAGTGGCAGCACGGCGCTTCTCGCCAACCCTAGGGCTGCGGGTGGAGGGGGTCTTTCCTCTCATCTTGGGGAAAGTCATCAATAAAATACGGCTGGAAGGCAGATCGAGAGCGTGACGTTTAAAAATGTTGCCTCTACATCAGCGAGTAAAGGCATCCGCTGCCCGCTTGMGCTCCCACAGCAAAGTAGGGATTCTGCTTTGCCTGAAGACTGGCAGGCGGCTTCTGCCTGCCGCACATCCATCTCCTCGCCCCTTTGTAGTAGGAAAAGTAACTAAAACCCGCAGAAACGAGGCAGGCGGTGGAAAGGCTGAGCGAATRGCGGCAGAAGGGGGAACGCTGCTAAAATCTTTAGGGGGTCAAGTATTTTCTGACAGATTTTTTTCATACTCCAAAAATCGAGTTTTTAAACAAAGATCAATGTGTTATGCTAAAGTGTTGAGCTGACTGTTAAAACATTTGGGGGGATAATGACAATGTAACAAAGGCCTGGTTTGGAGTGAATCATCAYCCTTTTAAAAGTTAAAGCAATTTTCAGGAGAATAGCTTTCAGCAAATGCTTTACATTATTCAAAACGGCCAAATAATGTTCTATTATAGAGCCTGAATGCTGCCAGTCAGCCCATAAGTGCAATTTGTGCAAAGGCTCGGTGCCTTATCTCCACTTCTTTATAAAGAGGTGAATATAAAACAATTTCTTCCAAACCCAGACAGAGAGCACGAAAATTGCTTCCCTTTCTGCAATCAGGGCAATTTAACTGGAGTGCAATTAGCACTATTAAATGTCGATTCTGCATAAACAAATCTGACTAAGAAGCGAAAGTGGGGTAAGAACCTCATATAAACTGAAACTGATTTTTTAAAATTATATATCCGGGTCCTTTACAATTGATCCATGACGTTTTCATCTCGGAATATATTTACATCATAAATACATTACAGTTAAATCGACATAAACCTAAAAAAAAATCTCAATATGAATACTAATAAAGAATAGCCTAATTAAATGCAACAGTTCACTTCCTTTGAACAATATTGTTTCCCATCTCTGTACGAGTGTCTTTTGATCTGTGCAACTACTAAAGTTGCTGTCTTTAGGAGGTAGAGCTGGGAAACAATTCGTTCATTACAGATGGTTGGGAAGCTCTGGGTTTACATTCAAGAGCATCAGATGAAATGGCTCTTCTGTTCAAAAAGAACTCTGGAAAAGAGCTGCCAAATATTTTCCAAATAAATCGATTTAGCAGCAGTTAAATGTAAGGTTGCTGTACAATTTCCCCTCCATCCTAGGAGAGGCATGGAGTTTTACCCAGGGATGTTATGGGTGGGAAGGGGGCAAACCCTTCCAAGTTTAAGAGAAGCAGCCTAATTTTCTGCCAAACAGAAGGGACGTGGGCAGGAAACAGGCAAACTGCTTATTGCCGAGATGAATAATTGTGTCCTGCCAGGTTTGGGTTGTTTTGKTTTTTTTTAAGCAACAGTTCTTCCTTGTAAAACCCCCTCCCCCCCTCATTTGCGTGATCTAGAAACCAGCATTGATTATCAGAGCAACTCAGAGGGGGACCTGGTGATAAATTAATAACTTCAGTTAGGAAAAGGCTTCCCCTCTATTCTGCCCAAGATTAGTTACCACTGAGCGGGAAGGATATATAGAGATAGTGTTAAAATACAGACCTTGGTGCCTGTTGAGTCCACTGAATTCTTCCCACTATAGAGTTTTTCATTTGTGGGTAAAGATGAAGTGTAGCTTTTGATTAGAAGGAAATCTTTTATAGTTAATAAAAAGGGAATGAACACTGGGATCAAATAGATCATGGAAATTAAATGAAAATTATGGCACACTCCCACATTTTCTGCTTGATCTTTCAGATGATGTTTGTTACATGGTGCACTTTCCTCTCCTCCTGCCCCCTGCACACTGAGCCCCGAGGTGGAGCATCAGRCTGGGCTTTCATCTTTTCCTCGATCTTTAAGGTGACACTATTTAGGAGTAGCAGGGAGACGCATATTACCCTGTGTTTAAAAATCTGCACAATAGTTTCAGAAATCCTGTTGCCTACTCCTGAATGCAGCCAAAAGCATGTCTGTGGAATTAATTCTCTTCTGCTAAATTTATTTGGACCGTGTATTTTAAAGCTCCCTTGTTCTGTTTATCTCAGCCGGAGACACGTTAACAATTCAAGGGAAAACTAGTGTCAAAGGAAGGAAGGTGACTGCAGACTGGATGATGATTTTAATTACTACAATTATTGGGAGATTATTCAACAGCATCATAGATTTGTTTTCTGCCTTGGTAGGAAAGTCTGAGGAACATTGTGCGAGGAGCATTGTACGAGGATTTTACCTCTTGGTTCACATGCTTTTTAGAGCTGTTACGATGTATAGGTTAGGCATGACAAGCTCAGACTGCAGCAGGTTGGAAATCCAGCCAGTGGTAGCGTTCAGAAAGCTTTCTTAAAACGCAGGTATTTCTAAATAGAAAGACTTTAATTAGTAAACGCTTGGACCCAGTGTTTATAGAGCGTAAAATCGCCTTTCCACACAAATCCATTAAAGCCGCTCTGCTGACTCGGTAATGAGGTGTGTGCGGTGAGCAGGGCAGCGGGGGCCGGGACGGCGAGCTCGGCGGTCCCTGGCAGAGCCCGGCCCGCCCCGACCGGGCCCGGCCCGCCCGGCTCCTCCGCCCCGCGGCTCCCCCGGCGGCGCCGCTCGGGGCGCGGGGAAGCGGCAGCACCGGGCGGACGGGCGGGCAGGGGAACTGGCGGGTGCCTCACCGGAGCAGCCTTACCGCGGAGGAGTCCTGTCCCCACATTTCTCCTAGCATCCCGCTTCCGGTACCCTTCTAGCTTTTTATGCCACGTTTTTAGCCAGGCGTGACTCAGAACGTTGATTGTGATTAA